TAGCCGTGGCGTTTCCGGTGCTCAAATTCACTGCACCGGTAATTGAAGCAGAACTTATGGCTACCGGGAAGGCACTGACGGAATTAGAAGCAAAGATTGAATAGCTGGTTACGGCTGTGTCAACCTGAAACTCCGAACCGCCGGCCGTCTCTTGCTGTGCGGTGGACACAAGAAAATGATTGCCGTAGTGATTCTTGTGATTAAAGGCGTCATCTGCTTTGCCAGTCGGGTCATAAACTTCCGCCTTCATGTCACCATCGCCGCCCGTGCCGACCTCACCCTTTTCCCCTCGTGGGATTTGAGCCTGATACAGGCGATTTTGCGGCGTAGAATTGGCTAATTCCACCATATTGGCCATGCTGCCGGGCACAAGGGTAACAGTATCGGTAATGGCAATGGTGGCGGGTACCATTTATTGTCAGAGGTCAGGAGATTGCCGGAAGGGATAGGGTAAGTAGTGACGCAGGAATCTTTATCTGTGCCGATAATAGAATTTGCCGGCAGATTCTGGCCATTTACAGTGATAAATACTTTCCCCGGCGTGGCGTCCCCGTTAATGGACGAAAAATCCATTATAGTCGTGGCGTCTCCGGTATTTATAGCCACTTCGCCGGATATTGAAAAAGAACTCCTGGCTACAGGGAAGTGACTGACAGAATTAGAAGCAATGATTGAATAGCCGGTTACGGCTGTGTCAACCTGAAACTCCGAGCTGCCGGCTGTCTCTTGCTCTGATGTGGATATAGCAAAATGATTGCCGTAGTGATTCTTGTGATTAAAGGCGTCATCTGCTTTGCCAGTCGGGTCATAAACTTCCGCCTTCATGTCACCATCGCCGCCCGTGCCGACCTCACCCTTTTCCCCTCGTGGGATTTGAGCCTGATACAGGCGATTTTGCGGCGTAGAATTGGCTAATTCCACCATATTGGCCATGCTGCCGGGCACAAGGGTAACAGTATCGGTAATGGCAATGGTGGCGGCTTCCCCGTTCGTGCCGTTTGTGCCGTTCACCCCGTCTTTGCCGTCCTCGCCCGGCTTGCCTTCAGGGATAGGGATTCCGTCAGTAAAATAATGCTTGCCATTAGACATCAGGAAATCCAGCGTGAAGCTGTTTTTATCCGCGGCCAGATTGGCGTTAACGCCAATAACGCTGACGCCGTCATTGCCTTTACTGCCCTTTACATGGCGGCCGGTGCCGCACCCGCATTTATCCGTCATGTGCTTTTCCTCGTATAGCGTTTATCCGCTTCCTGCATGGTCAGCCCGCCCGATAGCCGCATCAGGCCGCGATAATAATAATTGGCATGTGCCGGATATGTGCTGCCTGTCGGGCAGTGCAGCCCGATACGCAAAGCGCCATTGGGCAGGATTATTTTGCGACTAGCTGAAACGCCGTTAACCGAGAGCTGCACCCATTCGCCGCCGGCATCTATGGCCAGCTTAATGTCGCACACTTTGCTCACATCAACCGGAAAGGTGTTCTGTCTGTTGTAATCAGTGATATTGGAAATCGGGTGGGTGCCAAAATCCGCCGCATCAAGCGTAAAGCCGCCTTCGGCCTGGGTGAAGCGCAGCGCTGCCACGCCACCGGCCGACAAAGAAAGCTCAGTGCCGGCGGCTGTCGGGGCGTCAATAAACAGCTCAAATATCACCCCCCATGCTACTTCCTTGATGGGCAGGGAATCGTCTCCCTGAAGCGTCAAATCCAAATATTGCCGGTAATTTGGCAGCACCCCCGCGCCTGTATCGGCCGGCATATCAATAGTCAGCCGATTATCCACCACCTGCAACTGCCGGGCAATACTGGTGCGCCAATGCGCCGCCATTGACGGGGTGAAATCCTGATTGAAATTGCTGCTGTGCAATATCCAGCTATTACCCACACGGCCAAGGCTGGCACCCCATACCGAATTGCCATAGTCAACAGGGTAAGGTTCGGCCGTTGCCGTCCAGCGGTAATCCTCGCTGAAGAAGCCTTCCTGCGCCATTGTCGTGAGGGTGCCATTATAGCGGTTCCCGAAAATCAGGAAGCTCTTACTGTTAAAGGGCAGGAAATTGAAGCAATCCGGGCTGCCGTCAAAGGCAAAATCGGAAGCCTGTTCCCAAATCTGCAAATCGGCGTCAGTGCTGGTGTAAACCCGCAATCCGGCGTCCACGGCCACCAGCATGACCGCCTTTCCGCCCATGGAAAAGACATAGGGCGCGCGGAATTTTGCCTGTGTAGTGTCGGAAAGCACCGGCTCCTGATAGACAACCTGCCTGCCAAAATCGCTTGCTACAGCATGGCCGATTACCTGGCTGTCATCGCCTTCAATCGTGTAAAAATAATGTAGGCGTCCACCAAATTGTATAGTGCTGCCCGTGGATAGCGACTGGCTGGAATCACTCAGGCGAATGCAATTATCATGCCAGGCTGTGATGCCGTCCTGGCTGGTTTGTTCCAGCCATACGGCCCGGCCGCCTATTGTATTATGGTCAGCGTCTGTTTGGGCAGAGACATTAGGCTCTGCCTTGTAAAGCACCCAGCGATAATAGATACCTACAGTGGGTGCATATTGTGCCCCGCAAGTATCACCGGTAAAATCCTCAGGCGTTCTCCGCAACATTCCCGGTTCAGCCGGCCATTGCTCCACGCGCCGCTTTAAAGCCTCTATAACCTCATTTGTATCCCAGATTTCGGCCACAGCTTTATTATAGCTTTCGGAATAGCCGCCGCAAATCTCCGTGCCCGCACCCCAATCCCAGTCGCCCGGCTGCACCCGGCAATTACGCAGGCGGGAATCACCGGCCACCCATATCATCACATCTTCTACCGGCGCCGGGGCATAACGGGGCTTCAGGCGCACAAAGGCAACCGGCCCATCAGGCTCCAGAAAACCCAGCAGACGCCGCTCTGTGGCCGCGTCAAACTCCACCGAACAGGCATTTTGCGGCGTGTAGCTTGCTGTCAGCATGGGTGCGCGCGGGTCTGCTTCGGGTATCATTTTTACCCATTTGACCGGCGGCGGTAATATATCCTGCTCTGTCATTTTTTCGCCTCTTTCCCCAGCCATTCGCGCAAGGCACCAAGTCGGCAAGTGTATTCCACCCCGTCATCGCCTTGCAGCACGATATTCATATCGGCCGATAAATGCTCTGCCTTAATCGCCTGCTTTTCGCTTCCCGGCGTGGTGTAGTCAGTGTTTGCCATATTTATTACCCCTCTCACGAAACAGGCAAACGCAGAGAATAGGTGTTGTGATAAACATTTATCCCATTCCGATTCTCGCTCAAAAGATTGATAGCCGGATAGCGCTTGCTTCGGTCGGTGTCGTCCCAAAACACCATTACTTCCAGCGTGTGGTCGCCTTTGGAAAAATTGCCGATTGCCGGCGGCAGTGAAAGGGTGCAAACAGTGTCGCTGTCTCCATTCGTGTAGGCGCTAATCGTCAGAGGCGGCCGCGGTAAAGGATTATAATCCTGGTCAATCAGCAACCAGCCGTCCACTATCAAAGTGTTCCAGAGCAAATTATCGCTGGCTTGAGCGCCGGGATTTCTTAACGCAATGGATTGCACCAGGCGGCACTCCAGGCCAGTTTGCTCACTGGCCAGAGTAAACTTGCCTGATGCCACCATATTGCCCTTGAGCTTCCCCCGGTCTAAAGCGGGAGCGGCATTCATATTTACCCAGCCCCATGTGCCATTGCCCAGTGGGTATTTTATGTAAGGCTTAAGCAGTTCGCATAGCCCTCTGCCTGTATAGCCGCTGGCTAAAGGGAGATAGACAGTGCCTTCCGCAACATTCCCCCAAACACTGTCCTCATGAAAAACGCCGCCGGCAATATTGCGACTTGCAGAGGGGTTTCGCACAATTTGCGGGCAATAGACAGGATTCCCGTCATCATCAACCACATCATTGCCATTCGCATCTTTTTTCTTGCCATTGGCAACAGCCAATGGGTAAACGGGCGATTGATAAGTATCTGTATTCATTAAAGGAAAATCGGTGCAGCTATACAGCGTATCATTCGCCGTTCCCTCAATCATACGCTGGATTTCGGCCATATTGCTGTCTGTATAGACAAAAAATACGCCCTTATCGTCTACGAATTTTTGCCATTCCGGGCTGTTTTTGAGCAGGGCCATGGTGTCGCCCAGCAAATGCCGCTCGGCCTTCTGCTCTGCTTCATAATCAGCCGCCGTCCAGATATGGTGAATTGAGGAATAAACCGCCTGCACATGCGCCCCGGCAACAAACATATCGCCCGTTGCCTGTTTCACACGCAAACCTTTGGCCGTCCTGTCCCAGCTCATCATAACCATAGGCAGGCCGTTTCCGTTATTGCCGCGCTTGTCAACAGGGATATTAGTGATACACAAGAGCGGATTATCAGGAACCTTAGCAATATCGTTAGGGCAGCGGAAGCGCACAATCATGCCGTCTACATAATCCGTATATTCTTCGTCCAGCTCAACGCGCAAATTGGTTTCGCCGACAACCGGCTCGCGAGAATACAGCTCATCATCGGCTTTTTGTCGCAGGCGCTTCATCATTGCGCGGATAGAGCGGCCGACATTAGCCGGCGGGCAGCCTATATAAATGGGGATTTCTCTGTCTGAAGCCTGATTCTCCTCAGGAATCTTGCTCCAGTCGTAAATAGTCGGCATCAGCTAAAACCCTTCAGGAGATTAGTGCCAAATTGCGGGAAAATGAAGGAGCCGCGCTTGGCACCGAGCATAGCCATAACATCTTGCTGCTCGCCGGATAAATCGCGCTTCTGAATAGGCTTGGCCGCTTGCGGGGCCTGTGGTGATTCACCTTGTGATGTTTCCCC